AGCCGCAGCCGCCTGCCTGCGGGGCGCATAAACCCGCGGCCAGAGGGGCTGGGCTGGGCCGTCCGGCTCTCACCCCCACACACCCCGCCAGATCCCGGTTCTGCCACTTACTTTTCTTCCCAGCGGCCCCGGCTGCTGTGGTCAGATGTGCTGTCTCCCCGGAGGGCTGAGCACCAACTCCTGTAGCTGCAGAGACAGGGAGGGCAGCTGGAGCCTTCAAAAGGGCCAAGGCGGTCTACTCTCCTGCAGCAGTACAGGGCGACCCCTACTGAGATACCTCCACCTGTACTCCCAGCCTTAATCCCAAAGTCATCCAGTACCTGGCATGTCATGAGGAACCCACTGCAGGCATTTATCCCTATTTATTTATTGGGTACTGGGGGTTGAATCCAGAGCCTTCACACTGAGCCAAACATCCCCACCCACACACCACTTAGTATGACTAAGTCACAATTACCCAAACTCAACCTGGCTCAAACTTTCCATACTTCCTCCTCTGCCTCCTGGTGCTGGAATTACAGTCATGTGCCTCCTCACCTAACTCCTATCCTTATTTTATTTTTGAGACTGGGTCTCCCTAAGCAGTTCAGGCTGGCTTTGAATTGACCAGGCTGCCTTTGAACTCACAACGATACTCCTCTCTGCCTCCCTAGTGCTGGGATTACAGATGTGCAGCACCACACTGGCTGTTATCCTGATTTTGATCTCAATGATAGCTCCAGCCCTAACTCCATACTTCTAACCTTGATTCATCCTTCATCTCCACCCACTCACAGGGCCTCTCAATTCCCAATCCCAGCATCATCCCCAAATTTGACTAAGAAAACTTTTATACCTCCTCCCATTCCCTTGAACTTTTTAGCGTTCTGGGTTCCATTCCTGTTCCATCTGCTCATCTGTTCTCTCACCCACCTCTTTACCATCTGGTCTAAAACCCTGGGCTATTAGGACTTCCTTTCTAGGGATCTAGAACAACCTCCCTTTCCCAGCCCATCCACCTCACCCCTGCCATTCCAGCCTGGAGGGTGGGCTCTTCACCTGCTGGCTCTGTGTGCCAGGACCCATCCTCTCTTGTGGCCGAGGGTGGCAGTGCTGTGAGAGTTGGGGAGCCCAGGACTAGAGTCGGAGAGAAGACAGCAGGGTCAGAGGCTGAGGTGCAGCTGCCTAGTCAGCCTGGCCATGGTGAAGGAGAGGAGGGTTTCCGGAAGACAAAATTTTACTTCGGGGTGGGGGCCTCAGCCTCAGCTGGGGATCCAAATCATAATTTATTTGTGCTTGTAAAGGTACAATCTACACTTCCTGGTTTACACAGGGCTTTCGCAGATGGGCTGTCATTTCCCCCAGTGTCCAGGGTTCTCAGAAGCCAAATGTGCCCAGGACGTGTAGATGCAGAAGGCCTCACCCACAGGGAGGCCAAGCCCTTGCATAACAGGACTCATCCCCATCTTCCAGCTAAAATAGGGCTGAGGAGGGCAAGGGGGATGCTCAAGGCCCACAGTAAGGTCAGCCTATGGCTCTGCCAGGTGCAGGGCGTGAGGATGGGTAAGCCTTTGCCTCTGGGCCTCAACTTTCCTGCCTATAGATGGAGACGAGAGCCCTTGGCTTGTCCATCTTGTAGAATGGAGTCCTTTGTGAAATGGCTTTATTGGTCCTAGTATTTCCCATTGCCAAGAACACTTCCCAAACTGAAGAAAGCCCAGATGGGAAGAGAATACTAG